TATATACATGTTTAAGCCAGAGTGATTGGAAATTTAAATATGACTTTCCCACGACTTTAATTTGATAAAAACAGGGTTATGAAGGTTTTTTTTTTTTTAAGTAGATGAGAATATCTGGCAACGTTTTAAACAAGCTCATTAACTAAATCTATACAAAATGTTGTATTCATATGAAGTGAATTTTTGTTTAATTGTTTTTGCAAGCAAGGAACACATTTTTTGGTAAATTAAAACTAAAAAAATAAATGTGATCCAGAAATGAAACTTTTTGATTTTTATTTGAGATAAACTTTTTAGTATTCTATTATTTTTTTTCTTTCAAATTCATTGTTAATATTTTGATTTTTTTTCTAATTGTATCTTTCAAATTTTATACTTTTTTTTATTTTTAATTTTATTTTTCTATTTTTTCCCCCAAATATTATGCATTTTCTAATTTTTTTATACCAAATTTCATCCTTTTCACCTGAATTCTTTTCAGGTGGAGTTTTACTAATTGGACTCTGTTTATCTTGCATTGTACAGATCACATTCTCTTCGCTTCTGGGACACACTTTCCTTCTATTGGTCTCTATGGACATTAGTTACAAATTTTTATTTGGCAAGTGTAAATGTTTGCTTTGGGCCTGAAGGAAAGCGAACGGGATCTGTCAACGGCAATTTGAAAAAAAAAATGTCATTTGAAAAAACCCAAATTGAAAAAAACTGAAATTTAAGGTTAAAATGTAAAAATATAAAATCTGTAAAAAAAAAAAAAAAAAAAAAGCTAAAGGTAAAATTTGAAAAATACATTTAAAAAAAAAAAGTGAAAAAAGTTCCTTTTAAATCTCTTTGAATAAAGCATTTTTTCAATATTTTGATTCTGAATTGCATTTTTTTTTTCAAATTTTAATAATATTGTTTTTCACATTTCCATGCAGAATACCTTTTTCTTTGTTTAAAACAATAATGGAACATTTACCCCACACATTTACAGCTGTAGTTTTAGAGCTTTTTTATCTTTTCAAATTTGATAAGTGCAGTTTTGTTTACTTGAAGTTGTAATGAAATGTCTGCAGGTTGAAAACACCGGCAGTGTTTTGATCGGCTTTATCAGCTTTAGCCTTTCCTGCTGTTGCT